TTACTTTTTTATGTTTATGTAATGTGAACCATTTAACCTCTTCGGATCTGAGTTGCCTCTTCTATAAAAGGAAGGAACTGAAACCAACAAATTCTTAAGTTCACTAGTTCCATGATTCTATGATGGAATCATATTCTAGTAATAAAGTTTTGTTAATATTTACTGAATGCCTCCATGTCAATAGTTATGATTATATCTGAAACCAAAGTTGTGCCTTTACTGCTATGCTAGTCAAGTGCCATATAAACTTGTAAAAGGAAAAAAATCCACAAAACACTATTTTTGAAAATACATGCAAGTGCATAACAAGTCTTAGTAAAATTTAAAAGATATAAAATAGTATTTGCTTTAGATAATGCATAGTTGGCTTAGCGTCTGGCTGGGATTTTTATATCAGGGAAAATAAGTCGTTTAAAGTTTCTTGGGCAACTGGAAATCCAAGTCACACTGAAATGTGCAGCTTGCTGATGTCTCAGAGTTGGGCTCATGTTTCCAAAGGCCCACGGCAACAATGCCACCTATCATCAGGTCACTTCCTTTCTTAAAACCCTCCCAAGGCTTCCCTCTCTGCTTGGAGGAAAATGCAATCTCCTTCCTGTGGCCCTCTCGGACTTCCCTACTCCTCTCCACCAGCATTCGGGGCTCCTCTCAATTCCTCCAATTTGCCGCATCTTTCCCACTTCAGAGGCTTTGCACTTTCTCTTCCCTGCCACACAAGCTCACGCAGATACTCACATGGCTGGTTCCTTCACATCCTGCTCTAACACCGCCTCCTCTGAGAGGCCATCCCTGCCTACCCACTGTGAAGGCACTCCCAACTTTATCGTACCTCCCTCTTAGGTCTTCCTCACAGTTCTTATCATGACTTGAAATTATGTACTTTGCTTATTCCTTTACTTGTTTACTGTCTGCTTCTCCTGTCATAACCTGCCAGGTTGGAAGCTTTATGAGCAGGAACCTTGCTTACCCCTTTTCCTCCTGTAATTCTAGAGCATGGAACAGTGTCTGCAGGCTTTTGTGGAGAATTTGACAAACTTCTTCTAAAATTCATTTAAAAAATGCAAATGTAAGTGTTAAACATTTGTTGAATAAAATAATAGTAGTAATGGGAGCTATTATGTTTAAAAGCACTATTCCAGGCTCTTTACACAAAGCAGCTCACGTAACTTCACGATGGCTCCATGAAATGGACGTTATTATTCCACGTTACAGACGAGGAACTGAGGCTCAAAAAGTTAATCAGAAAGAGAATGGCATAAAGGTGATGCCTACCGCTCTGAAATTTTCTAGGTTCTAGACTCTAAATCCACCTACATTTTTAATCTCTAAAATATTTAAGAACTGTTATAATGCTATGATAAAAAATAAATTAAAAAAAGATGACTCAAATGAGGTAAGACCATATTCTTAAAATGAAATTGCCATTTCTGTCAGATGATTCCAATAAACAAGAGAAGTGAGAAGTATGACATTATGAAGCACCTAAATAATTCCTATTTTTAAAGGCTATGTCTAAAAAGATGGAAGGTAATCCTACACTAGAATGAAAAGACTGCCATTCATCTGTTTGAGTTGTGAAAAGGCGGCCACAGTTAAAAAACAACAAACTAGTGAGCTAGCAACAATCAGAAGTTGAACTTTAAAAATACATATTTATAATAGCATTAAAAATATGAAATATTTAGGGATGGTGGTTAAATTTTGTGTGTCAACTTGGCTAGGCTTTGCGCCCAGCTGTTTGGTTAAACACTAGTCTAGGGACTTCCCTGGCGGTCCAGTGGTTAAGACTCCATGCTTCCACTGCAGGGGGTGCGGTTCGATCCCAGGTCAGGGAACTAAGATCCCACATGCCGCCCGGGGCCAAAAAACAACACGAAACAAAACGAACACTAGTGTAGAGGTTACTGTGAAAGTATTCCATCGATGTGATTAACATTTACAATTAGCCGATGTTATGTAGAGGAGATCACCTTCCACAATGTGGGTAGGCCACGTCCAATCAGTTGAAGGCCTTCAGAGCAAAAAACAGAAGTTTGCTGGGGAAGAAGCACTGCTGGGTCAAGACCAGGACAGAAATCCTGCCTGGGTTCCCAGCCCCCTGGCCTATCCTACAGATGCTGGACTCAGGACTACAACAGCAACTCCCTTGCCGGACGCAGCCTGCTGGCCCATGCCGCGGATTTTTGGACTTGCCAGCCCCCGTAGTCCTGTGAGCCAATTTCTTGAAATAAATCTCTCTTTCTCTCTCAGCCCCTCCTTCTCCCCGCCCCCTACCCTGACACCCTTACCTTACGATTCAGCCACTCCACTCCTGGGTATTTACCCAAGAGAAACAAGGGTGCTATGTCCACATAAAAGACGTGTACATGGACGTTCACAGCAGCTTTATTTGTAAAGGCCAAAAACTAGAAACAACCCCTATCAAGAGGTGAATGGATACACAAGCTACAGTATATCCATGCAATGGAATACTACTTGGCAATAAAAAGGAATAAACTATTAACAAATGCTACAAAATGGATAAATCTCAAAATAATCATGCTGAGTGAAAGAAGCTAAACTCTTTTGAGTGCATACTGTATTCTAGCACATGCTGACTAAAGTAAAGTAAAAGAAAATAAATAGTAGTTGCCTAGGTAATAAAGGGGGAAGGTTACCAAGAGGGACTAGAAAAATTTGGGGGGTGACAGATATGCTCAGTATCTTGACTACAGTGATGGTTTTATGGGTATACACATATGTCAAAGCTTATCAAATTATACACTTTTGATATGCACAGTTTACTGTATAACAATTATATCTTAATATAGCTGCTTCAAAAAAAGATATCTGTCAGAAGTGTTAAGGAAAATTTTCATTTGTTTTATTTATTTATTTTTGGCTGTGCTGGGTCTTCGTTTCTGTGCGAGGGCTTTCTTCTAGTTGTGGCAAGCGGGGGCCACTCTTCATCACGGTGCGCAGGCCTCTCACTATCGTGGCCTCTCGTTGCGGAGCACAGGCTCCAGACACACAGGCTCAGTAGTTGTGGTGCACAGGCCTAGTTGCTCCGCGGCATGTGGGATCCTCCCAGACCAGGGCTCGAACCTGTGTCCCCTGCATTAGCAGGCAGACTCTCAACCACTGCGCCACCAGGGAAGCCCAAGGAAAAAATTTTAAGGATTAAAAATGCCTTCTCGGCAAATTCCCTGGCTGTCCAGTAGTTAGGACTCAGTGCTTTCACTGCCAAGGGCCTGGGTTTGGTCCCTGGTCAGGGAACTAAGATCCCACAAGCCCCGAGGGGTGGCCAAAAACTAACTAACTAAATAAAAAGCCTTCTCAACAAAAAGAATAACAAAGGCCATCTCCTTACTTGGGATCAACTGTCAACAGATAACCTAAATAACTATTTCTCTCCTATCTTGAGTCAGCCTTTTAAAATAAGAAGACTGATCTTTAGTCTAGAAGGGTAAGTAAGGATTAAGGGAAAAAAAAAAAAGAAAGAAAGAAAAAATTGAAGCCCAAGATAGGAAGGAGACAGGAACAGAAGAAGGAATTGCTTTAAATTCATATTTACAGATTAAGAAAAATCACATCCTAAAATATATCTGAAAATTGGGTAATTTCCAAGGAATCATAAAGAAGTGCCATGAGAATGGATGTAGAATCCATGCAAAATTCTAGAACAGGGGCTTTCCTGGTGGCACAGTGGTTGAGAATCTGCCTGCTAATGCAGGGGACACAGGTTCGAGCCCTGGTCTGGGAGGATCCCACATGCCGCGGAGCAACTGGGGCCGTGCGCCACAACTACTGAGCCTGCGCGTTTGGAGCCTGTGCTCCGGAACAAGAGAGGCCGCGCTGGTGAGAGGCCTGCGCACCGCGATGAAGAGTGGCCCCCGCTCGCTGCAACTAGAGAAAGCCCTCGCACAGAAAAGGAGACCCAACACAGCCAAAAGTAAATAAATTAATAAACTCCTACCCCCAACATCTCCTTAAAAAAAAAAAAATTCTAGAACAGAGTTTTAAAAACCTGATTAATAAGGAACTTCTACAACATTTATTTGCTCCTGGCCCTCAACCCTTTCTAATTCACCCTTCTGGGACTTCTTTCTGGGTTCCGGTTCCACCTGTCCCTTAAACACTAGCGCTCTCCCGATCCTCGTTCGACTTGTATGGTCACTCCACAACACGGTTTGCAACCTTCCATGGGAGTCATAATTCTCTTTGATAATTTCATGAAAGCTATAGCTCAGAACAATGTATATTTACAGAAAATTTTGCATGTAATTATTTCAAAGGTTTCAAGAGCTCCCAGGACCCTGGCCATGCAGTCCTTAGCTTCTCAGGGCAAGGAAATTCCTCACAGAATCCCATCCTGGGCTTCGTCTCTAAAAACCCATGCAAAGCGAGGTGCACACAGCTGTGGCAATGGAAAATCTGAATGCTAACAAATAAAATTCAAATAGCACCTAGGATCTCATGATACTTTTCTGGGTATGTTGGAGAAATAGTTCAGCTAGGCAGATTCTTGGTTACCTAGTGAACGCTAATTAATAAGATTTATGAAGGAAGTTTCTAACAACTATTCTGCAGAAGCCCATCCTCTTAAACATTCGATTTTAAAAAGATGATTTGAATGAGGACACAGAAAACATGCTTATCAAATTTTGGATGAGAAGTTCTGACAGTGAGTAGCTGGACCTTAGACCCATGATTTAAAACACATTGACTAAATTCAGCCTAGGGGTGAAGTGGAGTCAGGAAAGATCCTCAACTCGAAGACCTTTTCATACACATACTCTCCTCTTCCTCAAATACAATAACTGATGGAAATTTAATGCACCCACCAAGATGGCACACTCCTTGAGATCAAGGTCTAAGTCCTATTTATCTTCATATATTTATCTTCATGTAGCACCTTGAATAATGTCAGTATCACGGTCTGCTTGGGCTATATTATGCTATGCTAACAAATAGCTCCAAAATCATGGTGCCTACAACACAAGGGTTTATTTCTCACTTACATTAAATGTCAATCGTGGATTGGCTTCAGCTCTGCTCCATCATTCTGGAACCCAATCGGAAGGCTCCATCGTTCTGGGACCAGCCCCAGCTAAGGCAGGCTGGTTCCATGACAGTAGGAAAAGAGCTACCGGCAGCACCACAAGATGGAATTTAAAACATCTGCTCAAACATGGGACACATCACTTCCTCCAACATTTTATCAGTCTAGGAAAGCCAAGTGTCCAAACCTGATGTCAGCAGAGTAGGAAAGACAATCCTCCGACAGAAAGGACCCTGGTAGAGAGGCAACAAATACTGTGAACAATCATACAATCTACCACAGTGCCTTCGTAATAGAAGGTGCTCAGTAACTGGCAGTAATTATTTATATGCCAGGCCATAAATACCACTGGGCAGAGACTGTAATCTGTCTCGCTCACTGACGCATCAGCGCCGCACGGTGCCCGCCACATGGCAGAGGACACGCTAAATCCTTACTAAGTGAACAGGGATAAGATGAGCATGGGATCTGGAATCAAAAAAACCTGCGACCAAGTACTAATGTCTGCCAATTCCTGACTTAGCGGAAAGCCATTTTTCTCTTCTGATTCTGGGATGGTGGTTGTAAAGATTAAATAAAAATACATGAGAAAAAGCACCACGAAAACTGTGCTCTTTTACACAGATGTTACTTCTCCAGATAGTCAAATGGGATGAAATTTGATAAAAAATAAACTCATTTAAACTTCTATAGTAAAGTAACGCACTACATAATATCCTGCATTTATTTTCAAAGCATCAACTGGCAAGTAAAGAATAAGAAAAATTAGACTTAAAGCAGTTCACATGAAAAAGAGACAATGTTTTAGTTGACCATAAGCTAAATATGATCAAAGGGTAATGTTGCTGCCAAAAAATGTAATGCAAATTTCAGGCTGCATTAATAGAAGGAGAGTATCCAGATAATAGCTTCATTGTATTCAGCAATGGGCAGCTCACATCTGAAGCAGCCAGTCAGTTCTGGCCACCGTATTTTAAGAGGTATACTGACAAACAGACTTCGTCATGAGTTTAGCAATGTGCATGAAAAAGGTCTGTAAACCATGTCATGTGCATATGGTTCGAGAATTAGGGCTTTTTTTCCCTTAGTGTGGCAAAAAGAAGACTCGAGTAGGATTTAACAGTCATTTTCAAACACCTTAAGAGTTAACTGGGTATAAGAAGAATAAGTTTCAAATATATTGCGCTAGACTGCCAAGGACCAGTAAGTGAAAGTTAAGAGAGGAAACAGATCAAGCTCAATGAGAAGTTATTTCTGACACTTAGAAACCTAAAACAAGGAAGGGTGGGTGATAACACGGTTACAGATGCTACTGAGGAAACTGAATTGGGTGGGAGTCGTACAAACCTTACTCACTCCCCTATGGAACCAAATATTTTTGAGGCATTTGAAAACGTCCAAACAGTATTTCTCTTTTCTGATTAAATAATAATACTATTAATACTACTAATAACAGCAACAAAGAACAAGAACTGAGGTTAAGTAGTAAAACAAGAAGTTGTTTGGCCTGACAAACACAGAAAGGCATGCTGTTGAAAGGAAATGAAATTTCAAGCCTAGATAACATTAAACATAGACACAGTGTCTAGGTCTGTACAGAGAAAATAGGCTTAGTCAAAATTGTATTTATTCTGGAAGTTGTTTTTCCTTGCATGACATAACTCCTATCATTTTCACGGAGGTGCAAAAGATTTTTTAGAAGTTCCTACAATGGCACTTAAGCAAAAATTTGCTAACATTAAACTAGTGCTCTTGTTGCAAGACAGTACTAGCGTTATCGATCACCTTGTATAATCGTTCAAACTTCTCACGGCAGGCTATTACACAGAACACCACTGTCATTTAAAAATGGTCCCTCGTTAATATCTTATTTTGTTTCCTTAATCTATTCAACATCCAGCACTTTTCCAGTCTCATTCCCAGCTTTCAATTCCCAAGTATTCTCTGCATACTCTGGTCTCTCTAATAGGTCCTAAGTAGTAAAGATAAATGTCCGACTCATCTTTGTATCCTGGCCCCTCAGCTTCACATCACTCACAGCATAGTAAACACTCAAAATTGTCTGTTAAATTCCTTTCTTTAATGAAATATTAAAAAAAAATAACCTAATGAACTTTTCATTCTATTTTAATTGTTACACAAGAGAGACAGTAATAGTCTGTAAGGATATACTGGATATTATGTTCTTGTTATACTAAGAAGTGAATAACCACTCTTTACAAAGTATCTTGGAATACAAATTTCTTTCTCCTTTAAAGTCCTCTTTGCATCCTAAAAGTGCACACTGAACGCGATTTCGCCGTACACGGGATTTTCAGAGTACTGACACAAGATGCTAATGCCCCACTTACTTCCCTTCCTACAGGTACGTGTGTAAAAATTGAGCTCAAAAACCGGGTTCATTGACTTATTAAAGTAAATCTGTATGTGCTTTTCCAGAATATATGTAAATTCAGATTTTTAAAAATCTATTCTTCCAAGCCAAAAACGTAAAGGAAAATGTAAAGGAGAAAAGTTCAACACCTATCCTCTACCAAGAAATATGAAAGTTTAGGACTTACTTGGTACAGGTTAAGGCTTGTTTAGGAACTTGTCACTGGATTCCTGTTCTTGTTACTTCTCTCCTTCCTCTTTTGTGGCACTATCGAGAATTGCACAGGTCACGGGGACACAATGCTCTGCTGCAGAAATCAGGAGAACACAGTTTTGCATCTCCCATGTCAATCCAAAGGACAGAAACGTCTACATTCCATTGGGAGATGGCAGAATGAGTCAGTAAGGAGATAAACCAGTTACCAGTTAAAAGATACAGTAACTAACTAAAAGTGTTAATTTTCTTTTAAATTAGATACTTACGTATTAAAGCAATTATTTTTAAATGATGGAAATGATGTACAACTAAAATACTGTTTATATAGGAAGCCACTAGAAATTAATTATAGCTAATATGTATTGAATGTTTTCTGTGTGTTGGGCATTCTTCTAAGTGCTCAACATACATTAACTTATGTTTACCCTTCATCACAGCCATATAAGGTAGTATCCTCATTTTACGGATTAGAAAAAGGAGGCATAAGAAGATGTGGTACATACATACAATGGAATATTACTCAGCCATAAAAAGGAACAAAATTGGGTCATTTGTAGAGATGTGGATGGACCTAGAGACTGTCATACTGAGTGAAGTAAGTCAGAAAGAGAAAAACAAATATAGAATATTAACGCATATATGTGGAACCTAGAAAAATGGTACAGGTGAACTGGTTTGCAGGGCAGAAATAGAGACACAGACGTAGAGAACAAACGCATGGACACCAAGTGGGGAAAGTGAGGGGTGGGGGTGGGGGTGTGATGAACTGGGAGATTGGGATTGACATGTATACACTGATGTGTATAAAATAGATAACTAGTAAGAATTTGCTGTATAAAAAATAAACAAGATAAAATTCAAAAAAAGAAAGAAATAAATAAAAAAAGAAAAAGGAGGCACAGACTAGTCAGATAACTTGCACAAATCACACAGCTATTGACAGGCAGGAAAGGGACTGGAATTCAGGCAGGACAGCTCCAGGGCTCATTCTTTAACCTTTATGGGTAGGTATCACTATGGTATACTTTGACATTTGAAGGTCTTTTTGAGTCTATTAACATTAATCACATATAAAGAAATTTTTTCAAGACTGCATAGAATTATTATTAAAATGCTTCCACAACCAACTTTTAGGATTAGATGACCGAATCCAATACATTACTTCATTTAAACCACTAGTACCTAACCTAATCTAATTTTCCATATAATCTATCTTTTGGCTTTATTATACTTCCTGATGAGTGCAACTGGGTACCTCTTATACACTTAGCATTGTGCCCGACAATATGTCACTAAAAGTACTTTGCATAGACTAGATCTGTGATGTTTTATTCATATGAGTGTGCATTAAAGTAATTCTTCTACTTCTCAAGTACTGAATACAATTATTCAACAGACATTTGAATACTTAATGAACACCAAGTAGTATGGATACAAAGATAAATGAGATGGTTTCTGCTCTCAAGGGAGGCCACAGTTACAAAACAATGAAGCAAGTGCTTTTATGGAGTGATGACCAAGGTTCCAAGGGAAGAGAGTTCCCCCAGCATGACAAGGATGAGGGCAGTTCCATGTGCAAAGGCATGGAAATGTAAAAGAACATTTTCCTCGTGGGGAATGTCAAGCTGTTTAAGTAGGACTACAATGCAAAGTTTAGAAGGAAAGCAAGGGAAAAGTGATAAGAGATGAAGGATGAAGCTGCAGCTAGATAAAGAAGTCTTGTAAGTCATAATATAAAAAGACTCAAGCATCTCAAGGATTTAAGTGGGACACTGATAAGATCAAATATGCTAACAATAGTGGTTAACACACTTTTTATTTTAAACAACAGTACCCTGATTTCATGAAATCTTATGCAAACATCCACACTTAAAATTGATCAACGTAGGGCTTCCCTGGTGGCGCAGTGGTTGAGAGTCCGCCTGCCGATGCAGGGGACGCGGGTTCGTGGCCAGGTCCGGGAAGGTCCCACATGCCGCGGAGCGGCTGGGCCCGTGAGCCACGGCCGCTGAGCCTGCGCGTCCGGAGCCTGTGCTCCACAACGGGAGAGGCCACAACAGTGAGAGGCCCGCGTAACGCAAAAAAAAAAAAAAAATTGATCAACGTAAAACTGCACTGGTAGAAATTGGAATGAATATGCTTGGAATGAACCCTTCACAGAATAGTTTCAAAACCACGGCTTTTCAAAGGAAGAATTAATATAGCCACACAGTTGCGTTTTATTTACTTTATGCCTCTCCCAATGTGATTCTAACTTCTCAGGTGCCAGGATTCATTCTCATAGTTTCTCTTCAATCATAGAACTAGGAATACATAGAACTAAGCAAATAGTACTAGGCCTTCAAAATCAATGACAAAAGTTATAATATAGAAAAAGGAAGATAATCAGCTTTTTCACTTATGAGTTAAGCTATAATTTAAGTGACTACATTTTCTAACCTAAAAGTTAGGATTTATGGGTGGACAAATACTAGTGTATTTATGGCCACAGAATATTCAAAACTGGTACAGTGCTGGAAAATATAGGATATATGATTGTAATTGGTATTAAGTAATTTTTTAAAGATTGGTATACTTGTTTTCTTAACAATGACTTTGTACCTGAAGATCTTCCCCATCTATCCCTTGAGAATCTGTTCTGCCACCTTACAGAATTTGGAGCTCTAAATAAGATCTCTGAAAATGACCTTCAGTGTGAAACTGCTTATCTTCCTCATAGCCACCTAATATGTCCCCAGCAATAACATGTAAAACTGGTTAAAGATATGCATATGACTCTCCTGCAATTCACTAGTCTTGATTCTTCACAGTGAGATGCGCTAATAAAAAAAGCAAGATTACCATTCTATGGAAAAGGTATATAATGATTAATTTAACATGTTTTATATCAAAACGATTATATTCACTTCACACAACTTAATCAAATCCCTATAATCCTTCCCTCTACCCTTCTCCTTTCCCACTGTGCGGAACATAACCACTTACACAGTCTGAAGAATTTTTAAAGTATCATTCGCTTAAAAACAGACGGATTAAAAACAAATGTTCAAAACAATGTTTAACACATATTAAAAGAAAGTTAAAGAACAATCTCACTTTTCTCTATCACATAAGATACCAACAACCACCCTGGGCCACTCTTATCATGCGTTAAAAGTTCTCTCATAGCATGTGGTTCAAAGCCAACCAGTGACAGTTATAAAAAGGAGGAAGAGGGGAGACAGGCACAGGATACAAATTAAATTCTTCAATATATCATTCGACCAACATGTACAATATATTCACTTACAGACATGTTTAAGAAATGGTCCTTAAACAGAAACAATGTAAATATTACTATAAGGAAAATACCTTCTCCGTATGATATAGCAAACTCAGCCCAAAACTTAGTATTCAATGCATCATTTCGGGGCACACTCTACACCCCCTAAATTTGCAGAAATAGCCAACTATTCTGCTATAAATTTGTTTGGGATGAAGATAACTCTCTTCATTATAGTAAAATTAATTTTATCACATGCAGTTTAGGGAAGCAGCTTAATAAGTTACTCATTTATATTTCTTTCAAATATAAAAGTCTGAGGATTCTCAAATAATCATTAAGAACAAACTGACTTATAAACAAAAGCTTTTTATAAATAAAAATATACTTGAAAGTAATCCTACAAAAACGTACAAAGAGTCCTCATATGTAACTATCAAAACAATACCCAATATCAAACATTTAACTATACACGTTTAACTACTGATATATATTCAAGTAGAAGGTTTCAGAGTAAAATTTCCATGTCTTTTCCACTTAAGGGCAAGTTTTTTTGAAAAATATTCTGCAAATAGTTATTTTTTAAATAGACTGTACAACCACTATGCTGATTTTAACAACACCTCAAGTAAAGTTAACTTAGAACAAATACTAATAATAGTTAGAAATATTAAATTATATACAATGTTAAATTGCCATTGCCTTAATACAAAGAAGTTCATAAATTATCTTAAGATAAATCTATATTTTTCCCTAGTTTGTGAAAACTGCACTAACCTTTCTGTTAAGAATAACTTCTGATTAAACCACCCTCAATAACTGAGATTCAAACAGTCTCCCAGATGGAGCAGCTGGGAGAAAATAAAGAGGACAGTTTTAAAAAAGAACTTTGATGCTGTAGATAAGATGATATGACACTAAAAACCAGTGTGACTGGAGTCTGCAAAATATAAATACGTAACAGTGAAAGAAAACCCTTTAAGGCCAATGAGGAAAATGCAATTTACAGGATCATCTATGACTAAAATTCTGAGCTCAGCCTTTCTTATTTCTAAAATTTTTGCCCAAAGTTCTGCAGGTTACAAAGTCTAAAAACTTTAAAAAATCCTATATAGTGGACTTAAACATACTTATTAGTATTAGGTAATGTTTTATGCTTAAGAAGTCTACCAAATATTATTTAAAAATCCAATTTTACATAAAGTATGTTGCACTACTGATTGCATTTTATAGAAAAGAAAAAGTAAATGACATTTGAAAGTGACACTGGGTTAAATAATAAAGAACATAAATCAGCCTTAAGTTACAATTAAAATTTCTAATCATTATTTCTGTTCTCACAGATCTTGGCACAAATATTTTGAAATGCAGTAGTCTACTTATTTTTTTTGCATGTATTTAAAAAAATTTTAAATTACATTCCCTCAGTAATGATAAATCCAACTAATGAAATTTTTACCTATGCTCTAAATTAGTAATTCTTTGAGACAGTTCTTTGAAATTAAAAAAAACAAAAAACGAAAAAAAACTTGAAAACATTTCTTTTAACATCACAACTTCAATCTTCATTTTTTTTAAAGGAATAACTGTTTTTTGGGTTTTTTTAATATTTATTTATTTTTGGCTGTTTTGGGTCTTCGTTTCTGTGTGAGGGCTCTCTCTAGTTGCAGCGAGCGGGGGCCACTCTTCATCGCGGTGCGCGGGCCTCTCACTACCGCGGCCTCTCCTGTTGCGGAGCACAAGCTCCAGATGCTCAGGCTCAGTAGTTGTGGCTCACGGGCCTAGTTGCTCCGCGGCATGTGGGATCTTCCCAGACCAGGGCTCGAACCCATGTCCCCTGCATTGGCAGGCAGATTCTCAACCACTGCACCACCAGGGAAGCCGCAGTCTTCATTTTTACTCATTTGTTCAATAGAGGAACTAACAGCCTATACTAAAAAAAATCAATAGCATCATTCTAGCTGTTCCCTTAATTTTTATAATATTCAATTATGTTAAGAGCAATAAAACTGTGCCTGTTATCCGAAAGTTGTGCTCTCAACCCATATTCAACATGAAAATAATTTCTTGCTTTCTGTCTCATGCACAAGAACAAAAAACTATTAAAGTGCTCAAAAGATACTCTGAACACATATACTCACATGCTTAGCTCTTAACCCTTAAATCCCTTCTCTAGGAATAAGACTCCTCTAAAATTGGGGAGGAAGGGTGTCACTCTTACACAGCCAGGCATGAATAGCATAAAGCAAAGTAAATTTGATTGATTATCCTTAATTAAGTTTGTGTCCAGTTCCTCCCTTTCCCCCTTATCCCACCATAAAGTTTGAGCTAACTCATAAGCAAGTTCTACTCATATTAACTCACATTCCTTTTTTCAAAGTCATCAAAGTAAAATGATTTCAGAATGAAAACTCTCCAAGTACTTCACTCAATATCTCCTGTGATTTCAAATAAACCCAACTGCACTAACAAAGAGAGAAAAAAGCTCCCTTGAAAGTTAGAGTATGCAGCTTTTCTTTTATCAAAATAGATTTTTCACAAGTGACCCAAACACAATTACAGCTTAGGAAAATCAAGCCTTTAATTCTGAAGAATAATTTGCACCTAGAGAAAAATTCAAGGTGATGGTTTTCACTGCATGTGGACTGTAGACCAAATCTATTTATTTTGACTTTGCTGAAGTCTGGGTATTACCACTTGTTGGCCTATGTTGCAGCACCACCGTCCTAGTGAGAGCGTCTTACAACAAGCTGCTTTTGATACCTTACTAATTAAACTACCTTGGATAGGATTCCAGACAAACCTGACCATAAAATTTTGACATTCTAATTTGGTTTCGATGTACTCTAAATGGTACAACTCTAGATCACATGGCAATTTTTCCATTCAGTTAAAACCTTAATAGGTAGCATATAAGTGGCACAACTTTGAATTTAGCAAGCCCATAAATATTAACTTTGCCCCCAAACACTTTGGGGAAACGGATAATTCAAGGAACACACTGATGAATCTTAACATTATGCAAAAAATGTTCTTTGTTTTTTGCTATACTGCACAGCATGAGGGATCTTAGCTCACCGACCAGGGATCCAACCACTGCACGGGCAGGGACATCCCCAAAATCTGTTCTTAAATTGTTGTACGACAACTGACTTTTCATAAATCAAATCACATTTGATAAGTACCACATAAAAGGGATTAATTATTTGAAGGCACCTTTTAGTGAATCCTTTTTGTAAATTTTAGAAGTCTCATATAACATAACTAACCACTACTTGTTTTGTAATCTTGTACTTGTAAATATCAAAGTTCTTGAAGTGGAGCATAACTGCTTTCTTGGGCTAAATACATCCCAGCATTACCGCCCTTCTCTCTCTTTCCCAAGTTTCAAAAATGTCACCCAAAAAACCAGCTGTTCATCTGTAGTAGAATATACAACACTAGGAAAGTCGAAAAAAGAAAATAAGTGATTTTTTAATGTAAAATAGAAATGTATGTACTCCCAAAGATAGGTCAACGAATTATTTTTGGCAATGATCACAATAAATGCCGAACTAAAATGATTTTTTAAAAAATCAAGATATGCACTTCTTAAATCACTTTCCCACGTGCCTTTGTCACCTGGAGGAAACTGTTCAGGAACTGTTTATCTCCATGAACACATGACCTCCACAATGGCACCAAGGTCAACGAGACATACAGGAGGGGGGTATGCTGAGTAAGTGCTGATTTGCCCAGTTCTACAGTTCCCTTTAAAAAGAGAGAAGGAAGAGAAATAAAAATAAAAATGTATTTATATAGTACAGGAAAGGAAATGATGTTCTAAGTGGTTAACATTCAAGAATCCCATTACAGAATTGTATATAGACATATGTCAGCAACAGCCACAGGAGCCAGACGTTAAAAGGGGCATCACAGCACAGAACCAGGTACAAAAATTGCTGCACAGAAAGAATTAACAAGATACCAAACTGAAAAATCCTCCCTTACGTCTTGTACTGAAAACCTTTGGTACCCTGGCTACATGCTACAACGACTCAATTTCAAAGTGAGAGTCTCTGCTGACAGAACTTCTTGAAAGAAGACGAATAACCAAAGGTCCATAAACAACCGAAGAAGCACCCGCATATCAGAAATGCTCAGGTAAGAAGTAAATTTGTATATGCTGAGCCTGCCAGTTAATGTGAAATTCACCAGGTGTCCCGGTGTTCCCTCATTCTTTACCAAAGATTCCTTCCGACATTTCCTCAGCTGTCACAATCCCCAACCTTTCACAAACCAGAAGTTTTCTTGGATGAGATTTAAACTCTGAAACACATTACCCACTTGGTATAATCTGTTTAAGCTGGACTTATACGCAAAAAATCCTTATCATGTGAAATTACTATATTTCAAATTTCCAAACAACTTTCAAATATGAAACAAACATACGTCAGAGGTAGCACCTGAAAGTTTAAAAGTGACTTAGCGGAGAGCAATTCAGCTACGGATAATTCATTCCAACGTTTGGTAAACAGGTTGCATGCATTATAATAGTAGAAAACTAAAGAGGGGAAAGAAGTCAGCAGAAGCACTGGGTATTCACAATCAATAGAGAACTGGGCTGACAGCAGTCTTCCAAGTTACTTTCAGGGAAGCTCCTGATTGGTGGGCGGCACTGGGTCAATGTGATTACTTAACCCTGGCAGTTACAACTAAACTCCACTTTGATGGGCTCCAAAGCTTATGACAAAAAGACGACTGCTTGAGCATATCAAGTACTTCGCTGTCCTGCTTCTATTTCTCTCTCACACAACCAGGGGCCTGACACCTGAAACTCATCAGAAAAACATTACCTCGTTTCGGGGCTTTAGAGTTTTGTATTTATTATTTTTAAAGTCCACTGGGCATAGATTCAGTTGGGGGGGGTGGTGGTGGTGATGTGAAAGATTAACCCATTTCCTGAACACACAGGGAAGAACTCATGACCATTCAAGCAGTTCCCTCTCTCCCTAGTAATAACTTTTTTTTAAAAAATATCATTTAGTCCTAAAATAACCATAAGCAACAAACATCAAACATTGGCATGGCAACGTCCACACATCATGCCCTAGTGCTACCCACAGGCAGATCTGTTCGTCTCTGGTCCCCATCCAGGCGGGTCCTCCGAGTCCCTCTCGCTTTCGTCCGGTCCAGCAAGGCTTCCCCCCGAGTTTTGCTGTAAAATCCGCCACTTTCGCTGGCCCGGGCAAAAGCAAGGCGCCTCGGTCCCCAGGGCAGAGTTTCTCCCAACTCCCAGCAAACATTTCCTGAGCGCTTCCAGCGGGCCCCCCGCGCGCACCTGGCCGGGCCCCTCGCCCCCTCCCCGCACTTTACCAAGTCCCAGACAGGGGCCCACCTGCCTCCCGTCGCCTGTCCCACGGCCCGGTCGCCCAGTCAACTCCTGCCCGGAGGCTGCACTCCCCTGAGTCCCGAGCCCCCGTCAATCCGGGGGCCGACCCCGAGGGTCAGGGGGCGCCAAAAGGGGCCCCCAGACAGGCTGACCCCGCGACGCCCCCCAGAGGCCGGGTCCCGCGCGCCTGTCAGCGCCCCCGGAAGGGGTCAGACAGGGGGGCTGAGCTCGCCGGGTGCCCTGTCCGCTCCTGACACCCTCTCCCCCCACCGCACTCACCTGGCGGGCTCCAGCCGAGGGGCCGGGCGAGGGGCTCCGGGGTCGCGCGAGGAGGCCGCCGGGCCGCCCGCCGCGGCCCCCACCGTCCCTCCCGCTCCCGCTCCCAATCCCGCTCCCGCTCCGGCTCCCGCTCCCTCTCCCGCTCCAGCCGGCGCGCGCCCCGGGCCCGACGCGCGCCCGGAGCGCCGGGGGGAGGGGGCGCGCGGACGCGCGAGCGCCGGGGGAGGGGGCGCGGGAGGCGGGGGCAGGGGGCGCGGCGAGAGCAGCGGCTCGGCGGCATCGGCGGAGAGAAAGCAGCCTCCGCCGCGTCCGTCATGGCGCGCGGCGGCTGCGGCGGCTCCCTCCGGCTTCCCGGCTCCCTCGCCTTTAGTTTGACCTTTCCCTCCAGTGTGTCTCCGGGAGAGCGGCGATGCGCGCGCTTGTGCATGTCTCTGTGTGTGTGTGCGCGCGCGCGCGGGGAAGGGGCCGGGTTCGCTCCCCGACGCCTGACGTCACTGCTATGGCAACGGAAGCCCCGCCCCTTGCCGCCTGTTTCCTGCCTCGCCCTCTGTGCACGTTCCGGGGCCTCACGTGCTCACTCACACGCACGCACGCACGCACGCTCGGAGCGCGCGCGCCCAGAGCGTTGACGGGGGCGAGTTGGGAGGTCATCTGGGCCTCCTGGTAGCCTCCCTGAGTTCAGCCAATCCAGTGAGGAGAAGCCGTGGGCGGGGCGGCCTCGGCTGCCAGAGCGGCGTGAAAAATTTCCCAAGGCAGAGCGAAAACCTTTCCTGAGCGACTGAGCATGCCCGGTGGTGAAAGGTGAGAATTGCCTGAAAGTTTAGGTGGGTGGAGGGGGAGGAGGTCCGGTAGAAGGGGAAGGGAACTCCGGGGCCCAGTATAGAGGTGTTTAACTGGTATCGAACTGGGACTGCGTGGTGTGAGAGTCAGGCAACCCCGGTTTGCAATCCGGCCCGGCCGCTGTTGCTGTGTGACCTTGGACGTGTTACTTAACCACTCTGAACTGAATGTCTTGAGTAAAATAGGGTTACTAAAATCTACCATTGTGGTTGTGAGAAGTAAAAGCGTGGAAAACGCCTCACCCGGCAAATTGTAGAGCCCAAACACTTAGTTATTAGTGTGGAGTCCACAGCCTCCTTATTTTACGAATGGGGACACAGGACTCAGTGAGATTAAGTGACCTGTTCAATGTCAGGTAGTGGCAGAGACCCAGGCTTCAAGTTCAGTACTCTTTCCTACATGGCCTTCCCTCAGGGAGAGGGGAAAAAAAACACACTACAGAAAAACATGTAAAGATCCTTTGCTCTCTGTGGATCCCTTTTTAATCCACACCAATTCTCTTCCCATGCCCCCAAAAGTTTTGAACTCTGGACATAAGGGCTGGACAGCCTTGGTGCAATTTTTGGAGGGCAGTTATTTGGCTCTCGATTTGCCCCTGAACAAGCAACAGAATGGTGCTTTCCTCAGTTCCCTTGGGGAGCCTAAATTTCTTCTAAAGTTTTGGTTAAAGTGTAAACACAGTAGCAAGGAGCTCCAGTTCCTCCACAATTTCTAGCTACCTGAGGAAAGATTAACTCAGTTAACCAGTGTTTACCCAGCATCCACTGAGTAAGTAAGAATGCTTCTCCAGCCCACAAAAGGCCTGTGACCTCAGGTCTGTGCAGGTACCTTATGATTCAGACCCACTGGTGACCTCATCATTCCTTGTGCTTCTAGTCCTTTCTCTGACTTAGTTCTTAATCACTTACTGTCTCATGGTATTTCTTGAATGATATAGAACTATTTAACTCTAGATGTGCTGTTAACTTTTTAAAAGTATTTGTCTCCTTTCCTGTCTTATACACCCCCCCTCCCCAAAATACCTAAATCTGGTCTTGGTAAAGGACATCACCAGCTCCTCAAACATGCCCTTATATTCCCCACTTTCTCTCCAGAAATTAATTCACTTGAGCCTTTCAAATTCCACCTAAAACGTACTTGCTTCCAAAAGGTCTTGCTGGATCTTTTCAGAATGAATTAGTCCCTTTTCCTGAGCACTTGGTACATTCCTTGCTTCGGACATTGTTCCTAGTAGACTTTGTTTCTGTGATTTGTGCACAGGTCACCTAGAGAAAACTTCTCTGAACATCCATGTATGGGTTGGCTATTCCTATTCCTTGCTCTCATAGCATCCTATGGTCTAATATATTGCTTCTTACCCATTCCTTTACAGTTTGATTTATTTACCTTCTCCATCAGATGTAAAACTCTCTAATGGCAGGAAACATGTTTAGTTCCACTTTGCATTTCCAGCATTAACCTCAGTACTACAGCTATAGAACGACTAGGTATTGAATGGCTGAATGGGCTCCTTGCCTACTGCATAAAGTTCTTAGGGGCAGACTTTACTTTGTATTTATATCTCAGAACCAAAGATTTTCTGGGAAGTTATAAATCTTGGACTACTCTAAAAGGCACTAGAAATTACATGGTCACACTCATGCAATGAAGGAAGGCTTTGGCAGTAGCATAAAATACTGAGCAGAGCAAGAAGTAGGAAATCCAGGGAAAAAGAGGTGATTTCTTAACTGCTGCTGTGGACCTAGAATGAGAGATTTTCAAATGTTGTTAAGGATATCAAGCAGATTCCTCCAAGGTGTGTCAGTGATGTTCCTCCCAGAAAAGGGGAACAGTTATGCAAAGAGGAGTCTTGGAAAAGAGATCAAGCAGTGTTTGCTTACTCTGAACTGGTAGCATTTGTTTCTTTGCCTAACTGGGCACAAGAATCTAAAGCCTGGTGCTATTCCTGTGTGTAATATTGTTCTCCCTCTGCTACGCTATTTAACTACCTATGTGTGTGTGTGTGAGTGTGTGTGTGTGTGTGTGTAGATGTGTGTAAATCCTTACCAAATCTAGTCCTCTTATTCCTCATCATGTGACTGGCACTGCCAAACACCCAATAGCAGGAGTCATTCTCAGTTTATCCCCATCTCTGTTCTGTCAGTCTCTGAGTCCCATAACGTCTTCCTCTTAAATGGCGGTGGTAGCCATGAACTGCCCTCAGGCTTCATGTGAGCCCTCATATCTCTCATCTGGACAAAACCCTCCTACTTGGTCATTTCACTCCATCTTGGCAGGTCCAGCCCCACTTTCACCACATCCCAGACTCCAGAGGGACATTTCTGAAACCCAGAGAATTGACCATGTCCTCAAACAGCTTAAAAATCTTCCATGGCCCCTCCATGCCTCCTCAGGAAAAAAGATCACACTTCAGTGGGTTTTTTATGCTTCATCCTCAACCAATTTCTTCAGCCACGTCTCCCACTACTTTTGCAAGAACTCTTCTGCTCCGTGGGTGTTGAAAACTTGCAGCTTCTCATACATACCATGTTCTCTGTGCACACAGGTTCACCTACCTGCGATTCTCTGCCCAGGCCCTCACTACCAGGTTAATTGCACCTGTGCTTTCTAGGTCTATGAGGACAGTCATGCTTCATCCCTCTGGCATAGCTCTTCTTATTCTGTATTGTGAATATACTCTATGTGCTCACATGTCTTATCTTCACTAGAATGTGAGCTACTTGAGGGCAGGGGTCTTGGCATATTTTATACCTGTATGGAACTCTAACACCTACCAGGGTGCCTGGTACAGGATAGATACTCAATAATTTTTTATTGAATAAATGAATGGATTATGAGCTCCATGAAGGAAAAAATAGTATTACATTTCTTTGATTCTTCACAAAGCCAGGCCCAGTATCACGGAAGTAATAAGTAGGTACTTAAAGTAACAACGAATGAATGAAAGGGTCGTAATGAGGTATTAAAAACCTACCATGCACCCCTCACCTTCCGAGATGGCCCACACTCTGTCTGTGGAGTGTGTATCTCCCCGAATAAAACTTCTTTCAACAAAACAAAACAACCTACCATGTATCAGGGACTAAACTTAATACTTTCCATTCATTGGCTCAGTTAATCCCCCAGCAACCCTATACAGGAGACATTGGTATCTACATTCTGCAGATAAGGAAATCAAAGCTTAAGGAGGGGACACGACTGGGCCAAGGTCACACTGTTAGTTGTTGGCCAAGCCAGGATTTGATTTCAAGTTCACCTAACTTGGAAATGGACTATTACGGAAGGTATTCTGCTGCTGCTGCCGTTGTGATGGTGGTAGTACTGCTGGTGAGGATGACTTGGACATCTATTTTGTAATGACTGATAAGAAGCTCCTGCTTCTTATCAGAGAGATCAGTGCTCCCTGTGCTCCAACGGGAAGAAATGTGATGCCTTACCTGCAGTCAGTATGTACAAGTCAAGCTAAATGGAGGGGTCATATTTTTTCTTTTTCTTTGTTTTTTCCAGAATTATTTTTCTGTAACTGAAATAAAGATTACTTAGTTTGAGGATACAGATGTTGCACATGTAAGGGTAAAATGTGTAAAATTGGTCTTTGGGATAGGAAGGACCCAGCTGAGGCCGTTTTGGAGGCTAGAAAATGAAAACTTTTTTGGGTTAGTAACATGGTCAGTTCATGAAGAGCTAAGGTGAATCTTAGTATTTAAAAGGCAATCCTTAAAAAGTTGGGTTAGGAAAAAAGACACTGGGTAAGTACCTCGTTAGGAAGAGGCGGAGAACATTTGGTTCCTGTCTGGAGGGAGTCTCTTGTTCCAGGCTTACAGTACCAAGAGGCCCCTGGAGTTGGAGTGGGGCTCCCACAGAGTTACAAGCACACCCTTGACTGGAGGGCACGCTCCCATCTCTGGGAAGGTCAACATCTTTGACCAGAACATAGACTTGTAGGGGGAGGTGGTGAATGAGGAAGAAGCGGGGAAGGGAGAGCCCACATCTACCCAGTTAGCCGACCAGCTCAATCAGTCCTGGTGATGAGCTAGGGAAACCAGCTGTTCTACCCTCATAGCCTGTTCAGACTGATATATTGAAATTAGCGGCTATGTGGATGCTGTACACTGCACAACCCTAGGGGGAGCTATTTACATGGGTGTCTATATGAATGACATCCTCTGTACAGTACTCAACGTGTAGCCGTCCTGATTGTAATATATTCAAGGCACATCTCTGTCTACTTTGGCAATTTAAATGATCCTGATTAAACCTTTGATAATACAAATAAATAAATATTTATTGACTGCCTACCAGTTATCATCTCAGAAATTTAAATGACATTTATTGTACAAAGTTATTTCTAACGATTTGTGCATATTTCAAAGTACTTATTAGACTAATAGCATTACCATTCATTTATTAATTCTAATAAACAACAATTGAGCAGCTAAGTTCCAGGCATGATTCAAAAGGCTGGATTCAACAAACGTGTTGAACACTAACTACAAATCTCACAAAAACTATTAACTGATTCCTTCAAAAATAAAAGCTCATGCATTTTTGCAATTTGTTTATGCCACTTTACATATGAAGGTAGTCTCCAAAGCCTCTTTGTTTCGTAGACACTCATCTACTAAAACCTGGTTCTTGCATTTCCAACAATCCAATATGCTAGGATGCCCCAGTGAATATAAAGCTTTTACATACTTTTTTTTTTTTTTCCCCTCCTAGCTCTATCAAGAGAAGGGCCAGAAAGTTAAGTTGGCTGCTTTAAAGGTTTCCTGGAAGCACTAGGGAAACCATTTTTCATAGAGTAAGTGTGTGGCTGCATTGTCCAGGAAAGAGAGTAATCAGTCTTGGGTCCCTGGATCACTCTGTGGAAGAATGCTGATCTCCACCTAGAAACATTTCATTTGGACTGTTAGATGAGCAAGAAATAAATGAAAATGGGGGGGTTTGTTTGTTTTAGCAGCAAGCTCTACTCAACACCTTCACTGGAAAAGGAGACAATATGGCCATGTTTGTACCCCAAATTTGCTGAGCTGCTCATACAAGTAACATTATATTCTTAACTTTGGAACCCAATTAAGGATGGCTCTGCCTCCAGTCTTTATTAAATTGCTTCCAAGTGTTTGGATGGTCTAACTAGGTGTGACTATCACTACTGGAAAATTGTTATGCGCAGTTCCAAAAGCTGATAATTAGCTTAAAAAAGCCACTCGGGAGGAACAAATACACACATACATACATAGAGTCACACACACGCACGAACACAGTAGTATGCAGACTTTCAGGTAACTTTTACCATTTTAACTATTGTCAGCATCAGCATCTTCCTCCTCATTTTTTAAGTCAAGAGGCTTAAAGAAATCTGAAATAATAATCCAGAATATTCGCAACAACTCAGGAAGGATGAGTGAGGTGACCCCAGGAAGGGAGTGGGCTGTCCTTTTAATGAATCATCACAGTCTCTCTGTGCTGTTTGTCCTATGACCTCAGGTGGCATGCAGCATTATGCCAGGCATCTGTGTTTGAGTGGCCCTCCAGCTCCTCCAGAATTACTGTAAAGTTGGAGGTAGGATTTGCTCCTGGTATTTTACGTGAGTGTCGGTATGAAAGGCTGCAGCATGGGTGAGTGAGCAGTTTATTCTCCCTGAAGAAGGGGCTCAGGGTCCACCCCCTGCAGGCCACAATTTTGCCCCGGGGCAGACTGTTCAGGCTTTCTGTTGGACTGGCAATTTAAGCCAAGCTAGGGGCCAAAAGCCATAATGGGCTAAACACTAGGGAGGTGAGTTCTGTTAAATTCCAATAACATCCACACTTCCAGGGAAGCTGCAAAAGTCATTCCTGTCAGACGTCCTCAAAATCAACAGCCAAATTACTCCTGCTAAATGCTCTGAGCTACCGAGTAAAGGCCTGTACTGTTTTAAATAGTAACTCAAACCCTCTAGTCCCATGCCTCAGTCATAATTATGAAAATTCTCATCAGTATCCTCCTTAATGCATGGTAATGATTATTTAATTGATTGACTACCACGTGCAAGGTACTCTTTCAGGTGCTTTATGTGTGCCGGATGCTTAAGTCTCATGACAGCCTCGCAAGGTTATAAGGAATAGCAAGAAATAAGAGTTGTTATCCCATCTTATAGATGGGGCAAGAGAAATTCAGGGCGCGTAAGCAACTTGCTCAGTGTCACCCCAGTGGTGATATCAATGTAGTTAAAGTATATTCTTCGGAAAAAAAAAAAAAAAGACTTCTGTATGTAAGAGCTGATTCCAAGCTCAGGGACATTTAAAACAAATTTTTACTAGAAAAAAGTTACTATGGTAAACATTAAGAATAGAGAGGTGTCCTCGTCAAGCAACTCCTATCACGAATAATTTGGAATTAAAGGGTTTTGAATGATCTCTATCTTATTTTCCTTGGAGCAGAGCCAAGTTCTTAATAAGAGTTTCTGCAAAAGAGGAACCTGGGGCTGAATCTTATTTATAGAGGCAAAAGATTTTTTAAACTTCAGTCTCACATTCTTACTCTCCGCTTGAATTTGCCAATTAACACAGGAATAGCAAATGATGTGAAGACTAAGTGTTAGTTGTCTGCGTCCTAGTCCTCCTTACTGCAAATCCTTAGTGTAGGTTTAAGGCAGGGTTATGCTGAGTCGTATAATTGCTCTAGTCCACAGCAAGATTTCATAGTCATACTGTGGAACAAGTATAGCTAACTTATGTTTAGTATGGTAATCTCTCAGGATCCCAGGGGATTGGTCCAGGACTTCCACAGACACCAAAATCCATGAATACTCCAGTCCCTTATATAAAATGGCATATCATTTGCATTTGACCTACACACATTCTCCCACATACTTTAAATCGTCTCTAGATTACTTATAATATCTAATACAATGTAAATGCTATGTAAATAGTTGCAAATACAATGTAAACACTATGTAAATAGTGTCGTGCATGGCAGATTCAACTTTAGCCTTTTGGAACTTTCTGGATTTTTTTTTTCAAAATATTTTCAACCTGTGGTTGGTTTAATTCACGGATTCGGAACCTGTGGATACAGAGGTCTGGAGGCCCAACTGTAACTGATTTAATTAAAGTGGGGGTAGATTCATTGCTGTGCTATAGCCTCTGCTCGTACTTGTTGACAAAGCTGACTGCACACAATGCTTCCTCATCTGCCTTTAGTGAGGTCTCATTGGTATTTTGAAATCAGCTTTTGTGGGAGTATTTACCCCATGTAAATTGGCAAATGCTACAAATCAGGACTTTTATTCCCCAAGAGGCAGTTAAACGTTTACCAGCATGCTACTGACTAGACTGTATTATTTGCTCAAAAATATCTGTTGTCTTCCCTGTGGGTCTGTATACTGCCTTTCCCTGTGAGAGGACAATATTTTTCACCTACTGTAGTCAGGCTTGACTACATGACTTGCTTTGGTCAATGGAATGTGACCGGAAGTACGTGTGCCATGTCTAAGCAGAGGAGAGTGTGCCCATTTTTTTTTTCCTCTGACACAAGCTGGCACGTCCCACACAGTGTCTGTGCCTACAGTCTGAGTCCTAGAATAAAGAGGATGTGGAGCAAAATCACAGCCAACCTGTAGAGGACATAGACATAAGCAAGGGATACAGCTTTCCCGTTATAAAGATATGAGTCTTGTTGTTACTCTGGCATTACTGAGGCTGAGCTGATTGATACAGCAATTGGGACTTATAATTGAGGCTGCCAGAGTGGAAAACCTAAGTCGTGGGGCATTAACCCTGGGCTTGGGAGTGGGAAGCAAAAAAAATATGCATTGAAGGATGGAAAAACAGCAACTCCTGTTATCTAGTGGCAATACATTTGGTAAAACTCTCACCTGTGATCACTGGGAGGACAGATATGTACTGAATGACCTTGTGGCTTTAGACAAAGAGGTTTTGAAACGGAATGTTACTGGCATGCCTGAGATGCTACGGTCTGCATGGGATGAAATATTATACAAAAAAGTTGAGTTTAGGAAACAATTGTATATTTTGGAGAGATTGAAGGGAGTAGAAATGTCCAGAAATTTGAGGGCTCAGAGGAGAATGTAATTGATTCTGATTTCCATACAAAAGATAACCCTGAGGACTTTAAGTGACAAAGGCTGATTAAAATTCAGCCTTGTACCAAGGATCAACAGAAGGTATGGTCCCTCTATGAAAACCTCTGAATTGATGAAGGTGGCACCAATTATGGTTCTCCCACTGAAGAAAAATAAACTCAAAATACCTGCAATTAAGTCTAGAGAGAACCATAACTAGAAAAGAATAGGGGATGTGGCCATAGGCACATGACGTTTGATTTTGGAGTCTACTACTTGCAGCTAAGAGCATTCTCCATAATAAACTGCATTACAGGGTTGTTGGCAGGATAAACTGAGATTGTATACATAAAACATTTAGCAAGGTAGACTAGTTCTTTCGACTAACACAGGCCAGAGAGCAGGTAAGAAGTAGCCAAGAAATCTCAGTTAAAAGATTCAATGCTAATAATTTCAGCAAATGAAAATGATCCTGTATTGGGTCTGTGTGGTGGAATGGAAAGAACTTGGGTTATAGAATCATATAGAGTTGAGTTTGAAATCTACCTCTGCCACTTGACAAGCTGAACGGCACTGAGCAAATTGCACACAAAAAAATTCTGGGCCGTGGTTCTCTCATCTATAAAATGGGGATAATATCATCTCCTTGTAATGATTAACATAACTAAATAATAAAGCGTGAGACATCATTCTTGGTGTCTAGACATTCAGTATATACTGGACAGGTCTCCTCCAAAAGTACCTGCTACCACCACTACCTCATGCTGGCCCCTCCTGACAGAATATGATTTTACCTGTCAAAGGAAAGCAGGAGGGTTATTGCTCCAAAGCACCTTCTCCTATGATGCCTCTGACGAACAGGAAGGCTGTTGAAGGGCTGGAAAGAGAGGTGTATTGTTTTATACCCAAGGTCTTTCTAATGAATATTTTATGATTTTCTCAGTATTTATTATTTTGCCAGAATTCAAACAAACAAACTTGATTTGCTTTAGAAAAGAAAAGAGAGAATCACAAAAACTAAGAGCGGAGCTCCTGGGTAATGCAGAGCGCTGATTTGGTGAGCCCATCTCTGACTGCAGGGAGTTATCTATCCCAGTCAACGTGTAGCATTCCCACTGATGACCTCTGTTGTCTAAGGACGGTCATTTGCCTTCATTGGTACAATAAACTGAATTAAAGTGTATATGTTCCAGTATATTCCATGCTTGGGGTGAAGACTTCTCTCTCTTGCTGGCCATGAACAAGAAAGCACAAAGCTTCAGGACTGTTGGCTGCCATCTTGGAGCTATGAGGGGACCAGCCTTAGAATGAACCCAGATGCTGAGGACAGTAGCACAGAGGAATGGAAACAGCTTGCATCTGTGATGCCATCTTTGAGCTGAAAACCATACTGCATCTGGATCCTCATTCAATCTCTGGGTTTACAGTTACAGGAGGTAACGGAGTTCCTTATTTTTATGCCAGGCTATCAATGGATAGAAACTGATCAGTAATGAGAGTGGGGCAGCACCAAAGGGTAGAGTACACCGGGGGGGGGGGCTGAGGGTCACAGCCCCAAAATCTAGTCACCTGGGTTCCTATCCTGCTTCTGCATTGTGCTAGCTGTGTGGCCATTGGAAAATCACTCAGCCTCTCTGTGCTTCAGTTCCTGCATCAGGGAAACAATGATAATAATAGTTCTTATCTCATAGAGTTCCTGAGAGGATACATTTGCACAATTCACACAATACAGTGCCTGGCGCATAGTAAGTTTTAATATAATCTGATGCATTACCATGATTACCTCCAGATGCGAAGATCATCTGAGCATCTACAGAGTGATGCTGAACTGGGGCCCCAGTTCTCTTCCTGTCTGTCCTTGACTGTATCTCCTCATTATGTCGGATTTTGTTCTCATCCCCTCTCTGGATTGTCTTTCCTTCCCTTGTTCCTTTCACTAGCCATAATTGGCATTGATTTATAGCATTATTGGCTGTATTTTTAAAATTAATTAATTATTTACTTTTGGCTGTGTTGGGTCTTCGTTTCTGTGCGAGGGCTTTCTCCAGTTGCGGCGAGCTGGGGCCACTCTTCATCGTGGTGCGCGGGCCTCTCACTGTCGTGGCCTCTCCCGTTGTGGAGCACAGGCTCCAGATGCGCAGACTCAGTAGTTGTGGCTCACAGGCTTAGTTGCTCCGTGGCATGTGGGATCTTCCCAGACGGCTCGAACCCGTGTCCCCTGCATCGGCAGGCAGGTTCTTAACCACTGCCGCACCAGGGAAGCCCCTAATGTATTTTAAAATATGTAATTTTACATTTCTTCTTTTTAATTTACGAAGTCAAAGATAGAACATTTTCTATTTCCTTCAATAAAAAAAGAATGTTTAGATTTGCTTTTTTTATATCCCTATTACATTCATCTTCTTGGCTTTGGTCCAGCGTTCCACTCCATCAAAATCATTTTAAAGCTTGACATTGCCCGTTATTGCCTTCACCATCTTTCCTGGCTTTATGTCATCTGCCTTTTAAGCTTTCACCAAGTCCTTGACAGAACCTGCAATTTAGGACTACTCTATCAGTTATCAGTTTAGGCATATGTGGTGGAAAACTCTAAATCAGTGCCTCTCAAGCTTACTGAGTATGTGAATCACCTGGAGAGCTTGTTGAAACACAGATTCCTGGGCCTCAGAGCAGCTCTGTAGTGGGGACTGAGGATTTGCAGAGAAATAGTGCTGAATAGGGCTGCCCTAAATAGTGGCTTAATCAAGTTAGTGGTTTATTTTCTCTTATGTTAAAGAAATTCATAGGCACATGGTCCAGGGCTGGTACTATGGTGTCAGAACCTAGGCTTCTTCTGTCTCCTTTCTGCTGTACAGGCACGCGGTTTCCTATTCCAAAATGGTTGCTTGAGCTCCAGCCATTGTGTCCACGTTCAAGTCAGTAAGAATGAGGATGTCCCCTCTTTTTAAGGACATGTTCCAGAAGTTGTCCATGGCACTTCCACTTATATCTTCTCGAGAAGCACCTGGTCATATAGTTAAATCACACTAGTGAAATCAGTGGGAGGGTGGGTAACTTTGGGCTCCTGGGCACGGAAGCTTTGTTTTTGGCCCGTGTATCTTGTAGGCCAGACTCCTGCCTCCATGACCTTCCTTGAGTTCCAAAGGGCTATTCAAACAGTTGCTAATCAAGGGAGGAGCAGCCAAGAGACCACCTGAGGCGAGATTAAAGGGACCAGAGAAGCTCATCAAGATTAGGAGACCAACAACCTGAGACCCTGCATACACCCTCATCTTGTCAGCAACCCCACCCTTGAAGTATTCTTATAAAACTCATCAAATCCTCCTGGGTTGGGACACATAGTTTTTTGAGACAGGAACCTGCTGTGTCCCCCTTTGGCTGGCAAAGCAATAAAGCTATCCTTTTCCACTTCACCCAAAATTCTTTTTTCTGAGATTTGATCCAGCACCCATGCATAGAGGCTGAGCTTTCAGCATCACTAGTTGCAAAAAAATCTAGGAAATACAGCTTTTATGTTGGGTGCCATGTACCCAGATAAAAATCAGGGTTTTATGACAACATTAGAGGAGAATGCATTTCTGACATTACTGATTTTTCAATGTAGTCACATTCAATCTCTTCCCCCATCTCTCCAGCTAGAGGTTTGTGATCTGAATCCCACTATGTGCTAGGCAGTTAACTTTAAATTCTGAATTTCTAGGTCTGATCATCCTCTTGTTTATCTGTTCAGGCTACTGTAACAAAACACTATGGACTGGGTGGCTTAAACAACAACATTTGGTTGCAGGTGAGAATCTCATCCTGGCTTGCAGACTGCGAGAGAAAGAGGTAGATTGTGCTTTGGTATTTGGTATCTCTTCTTATAAGGACACTAACCCTATCACATCAGGGCCCTACCCTTATGACCTCATTTAACCTTGATTACCTCCTTGTAGGCCCCATCTCCATATATAGGCACTGTGTTGGTGAGCAGTGGTTTAGGGCTTCAGTATATGAATTTTGAGGGTGAAAATTCAGTCCATAGCATCTCCTTATAGGTAAGTATTATTACTTTAATTTTAGAGGTCAGGAAATCGAGTCTCAGAGAGTTTTTTTGTTTTTTTTTTATATGTACACAAAACTCCTTAGACCAAAAAGCCTAGTGGCTCTAGCTTGCCTTGAGGAAAGCTGTATTGTCCAAAGGGTACATGGGCCAGTTTCTTTTTTTTTAACATCTTTATTGGGGTATAATTGCTTTAAAATGGTGTGTTAGTTTCTGCTTTATAACAAAGTGAATCAGTTGTACATATACATATGTTCCCGTATCTCTTCCCTCTTGCTTCTCCCTCCCTCCCACCCTCCCTATCCCCCCCCTCCAGGCGGTCACAAAGCACTGAGCTGATCTCCCTGTGCTATGCGGCTGCTTCCCACTAGCTATCTGCCTTACGTTTTGTAGTGTATATAGGTCCATGCCTCTCTCTCGCTTTGTCACAGCTCACCCTTACCCCGCCCCATATCCTCAAGTCCGTTCTCTAGTAGGTCTGTGTCTTTATTCCTGTCTTACCCCTAGGTTCTTCATGACATTTTTTTTTCTAAAATTCCATATATATGTGTTAGCATACGGTATTTGTCTTTCTCTTTCTGACTTACTTCACTCTGTATGACAGACTCTAGGTCTATCCACCTCATTACAAATAGCTCAATTTCACTTCTTTTTATGGCTAATATTCCATTGTATATATGTGCCACATCTTCTTTATCCATTCATCCGATGATGGACACTTAGGTTGTTTCCATCTCCGGGTTATGGTAAATAGAGCTGCAATGAACATTTTGGTACATGACTCTTTTTGAATTATGGTTTTCTCAGGGTATATGTCCAGTAGTGGGATTGCTGGGTCATATGGTAGTTCTATTTGTAGTTTTTTAAGGAACCTCCATACTGTTCTCCATAGTGGCTGTATCAATTTACATTCCCACCAACAGTGCAAGAGGGTTCCCTTTTCTTCACACCCTCTCCAGCATTTATTGTTTGTAGAGTTTTTGATGATGGCCATTCTGACTGGTATGAGATGATATCTCATTGTAGTTTTGATTTTCATTTCTCTAATGATTAATGATGTTGAGCATTCTTTCATGTGTTTGTTGTCAGTCTGTATATCCTCTTTGGAGAAATGTCTATTTAAGTCCTCTGCCCATTTTTGGATTGGGTTGTTTGTTTTTTTGTTATTGAGCTGCATGAGCTGCTTGTAAATTTTGGAAATTAATCCTTTGTCAGTTGCTTCATTTGCAAATATTTTCTCCCATTCTGAGGGTTGTCTTTTGGTCTTGTTTATGGTTTCCTTTGCTGTGCAAAAGCTTTGAAGTTTCATTAGGTCCCATTTGTTTATTTTTGTTTTTATTTCCATTTCTCTAGGAGGTGGGTCAAAAAGGATCTTGCTGTGATTTATATCATAGAGTGCTCTGCCTATGTTTTCCTCTAAGAGTTTGATAGTGTCTGGCCTTACATTTAGGTCTTTAATCCATTTTGAGCTTATTTTTGTGTATGTTGTTAGGGAGTGATCTAATCTCATACTTTTACATGTAGCTGTGCAGTTTTCCCAGCACCACTTATTGAAGAGGCTGTCCTTTCTCCACTGTACATTCCTGCCTCCTTTATCAAAGATAAGGTGACCATATGTGCATGGGTTTATCTCTGGGCTTTCTATCCTGTTCCATTGATCTATCTTTCTGTTTTTGTGCCAGTACCATACTGTCTTGATTACTGTAGCTTTGTAGTATAGTCTGAAGTCAGGGAGCCTGATTCCTCCAGCTCTGTTTTTCGTTCTTAAGATTGCTTTGGCTATTCGGGGTCTTTTGTGTTTCCATACAAATTGTGAAATTTTTTGTTCTAGTTCTGTGAAAAATGCCAGTGGTAGTTTGATAGGGATTGCATTGAATCTGTAGATTGCTTTGGGTTCAGAGAGTTTTTGTGTTTTTTATTTTAAAGACTTTTTTTTTTGATGTGGACCATTTTTAAATTCTTTATTGAATTTGTTACAATGTTGCTTTTTTTTTTTTTTTTTTTTTGCGGTACGCGGGCCTCTCACTGTTGTGGCCTCTCCCGTTGCAGAGCACAGGCTCCGGACGCGCAGGCTCAGCGGCCATGGCTCACGGGCCCAGCCACTCTGCGGCATGTGGGATCCTCCCAGACCGGGGCATGAACCCGCGTCCCCTACATCGGCAGGCAGACTCTCAACCACTTCACCACCAGGGAAGCCTGCTTCTGTTCTTTATGTTTTGGTTTTTTGACCACGAGGCATGTGGGATCGTAGCTCCCCGAGCAGACCAGGGATCAAACCCACACCCCCTGCATTGGAAGGTGAAGTCTTAACCACTGGACTGCCAGGGAAGTCCCTCCTTTGAATCTTGGTTTGTGCATTTAGTTACTTTGGGACCTCAGGAAAATCATTAAAAA